TTACGTGTTACCAGCGTCACGTGACTTCCGCTGTCGTAACACTGCCCCTTCCTTAGCATTGTTCGTCCCAAACATTAGCCACTTACATTAAACCAATAGAAAATTAACAATAACTTAATTAAATGAACAGAATTTACAAACACAAAATTGAAATACAACAAAGTCTCTTAATTTTACAGGACGTATCTTTTTCGTTGGCTTCTTCTTCACGTGAGGTTCATTTGCTCCATCGGGAACTGTCCTATTATCGGTAACAGTCACATCAGTGGTAGTAACTTCATCAAGAGCTTCACTTTTTCCCTTATCAAAACCGGGTAGAGTTTCTTCTTCGACAGTGGCTTTTTCAGGTGACATGTCTTCAGCAGCGTCATTTGTTTCATTGTTTACTTTGTTCCAACTGAAATGTCCTGGATCGTGATAACGCCAAAGCCTGTTGGCATGCACCACCTTTGGCTTACCTCGCCGACCACATTTTATCCGGAAAGTCACGTCTGAGAGACAATACACTATGACATATGGGCCTTCCAATAGAGATGACAACTTAGGAGACTTCCCTTTGGTCTTCCTGAGATTATACAACCACACCTTGTCTCCTGGTACAAAGCTGACTTCAGTAGATCTCTTATCATAAGATAACTTCATCGAATCAGCAGACGTTTTCACGTTTGAACACACTTCATGGTGAATATCATCCATCCTTTACAATGACACTTTCACAAACTCTGACACATTTTCAGGCAACTCTTCATAAGGTAGGCTTCCTGTTAATAGATCCACTGGCAACCGAAGTTCCCGACCAAACATCAACTTTGCTTGAGTGTATCCAGTGGTTTCATGCTCTGCTGTCCTATAAGCCATCAACAGTGGAAAGAGTAAGACATCCCAGTCATCTTGGCGGCTATTACAAAACTTTGCCGATTCCTCGCCCAGTGTCCAGTTGTACTTTTTTACCATCCCATCGGACTGTGGGTGAAGTGGCGTTGTTCTGGTCTTTCGGATGCCAAACAACTTGCAGCATTCATGGAACACAGCTGATTCAAAGTTAAAGCCTTGATCTGAATGCAGTTCATATGGCATACCAAATGTGAAGAAGAAATCAGTAATAGCTGAAGCTACAGTTGTAGCTTCCTGATTTGGTATTGCACATGCCTCAGGCCACTTGGTGAAATAAACCATCACCACACAAATGTACCTGTTTCCAGCACGAGTCTGGGGCAGAGGACCAGCAATGCCAACAGCTACTCTTTCCATTGGTGCACCAACTTTATATAACTTCATTGGAGCACGACCCTTATGCTTGGGTCCCCTTTTGGCACAACATGTACTGCATGACCTGCACCATTCTTCCACATCTTGTCTCATACCTATCCAGTAAAATCTCTGTCGTAGGTGGCTCAATGTTTTCTTAACTCCGAGATGTCCTCCTGTTAAACTATCATGGGATTGACGCAACACAACTTCCCGTAACTTTCTTGGTATAACTATTTGCGAGGTCGTCACTTTCCTATCTCCGGACAAGAATACCATCTTCAAGCTTCAACTGGTAACATTGTCCCCAATAGTTCTTTGTCACAGGGCTTAGACTAGACACCTTCTCCCAAGCAGGGCGCAAAACACTTGCTTTTAGAAAATCAATTATTGGCTTCAAATCTTGATCTTTCTTCTGCTCTGCTTTAATATCTATACCTGGTTCCACTTCACCATCATCAACTCCTTCAGTCACTTTGACTTCAGCTTGATGACACCTGGTTAGTTCAACCTCACTTTTGCAGCAATGTCTGCAGTCATTTTTGCATGGTCTTCGGCTCAGTCCATTGGCATCTACATGAGATTTTCCCTCTCTATATTCAATATCGTAATTATACTGGTCTATTTTTCCGAACCAACGTGCCAGTTGTCCCTATGGGATTTTTAAGGATCTTAATTAGCATAATGCAGCATGGTCTGTCCTGATGGTAAACGTGGCACCATAGAGGTATGGATGGAAATATGTCAGACTCTTTACTATAGCAAGGAGTTCTATCCGTGTTATACAGTAGTTCCTCTCTGGTTTACTCAGGACCTTACTGAAGTAGGCCCCCACATGTTCGTTTTCACCCACTTTTTGAGACAACACAGCTCCAATTCGGACATTACTAGCATCA